TAATGGATACGATAACACCAAACGATCAATCAAGCAAAAAGTCAACACGAAAAGTCAACCTCGAAAAGTCAACGTAAAGTCAACCCCGAAAAGTCAACGCAAAGTCAACCACAAACCACGATACTTACGTTGATCTAAACACTAAAAACGCCCCAAACAAGCATTGATCGAACAACAAATCAACTCAATTCGCAATCAAACGCACCAAACACCCGTAAAAACCATGGTCACGCACTCACCTGTTCGGAAGGGGATAACTCGCGACTTACTTCACCAAATCAAGGTCTGAAACCTGTTCTGGAAACTAGACACCGAGAGATTTCCAACGGTATATAGATCGCCTCCTAACTCCAAGCGGTTCGACGGAAAAACAGCCCGCAAGTTCGACGATCGGAACTGAAATAGAAACGACCCGTTGAACAAGAACACAAAGAATCCTATGAACGGATACCCCAAATTCGGATCGGAAAAAGGTTCTGGAAACTATACAGATAGGGCTTTCTAACCGTATATAGATTGATTTCTGGGTCTTTATAGAACGATGGTAAATCAGCCCGTAAGTTTGATAATCAAAACTGGAAACAGAAAATCCAGTCTCAGAAAACAGAACCGACACACTGATTTTAAAAGAACACAAAGAACGGATCATACCTCGGAATCAAGATCGGAAACTTGATCTGAAAACTAGACAGAGATATATTTCCAACCGTATATAGATCGTCCTGTGATTCCCAACGGTTCGACGGGAATCCCCACTCGAATTGGACTGATCGCAGATCAAAACTGCAGAAAACGCCCTGAGTAAAATACTCATAACTCAACGAATACTCAACCAAATGGCAAGAGGTTTCTTCCTAAATCAAGAGAAAAGATCGGAGAACTTACCTTCAAAGTTTCCCTCCGATCCAACTTGATATTCAACGCCGTTTGTCTCCTCCAAAACCGACGGCACACACCCTCAAACTCCCAAGAACACTCAAGAACACTCAAGAACACTTGTTCTCACCCTCAAATCTCTCAATCCTCAAGAGAAATCTCTCTGTTTTCTCCTCTGAAACCGAGCTCAATCATCCACAACCCTTTTATAGGCAAAAACTTCGGTTTAACCAAACCGAACCGAAATTAATTGCTTCCCCAAACCAAACCGTCGGTTAGAAAATTGAGTGTGTCGCGCGACACACATTCACTGTGTCGCGCTACACACGACCAAAATGTACAAAAATTGGTTTGCGGTCGTTACAGTTTACACTCCACAATCACCACTTTGCACGTTTTATGGTACACCTCCTTTAATCCGCTCATGCGTGTATCGATCATATGAATACTTGTGTCTTTCCTCTGCTAAACATGTGTCATGGATGAGCGCAGGCATGATGACGGCTATAGGCTCCACTGCCACGTCAATTTCTTCATCTTTTGCGTAACTCAGAATACTATCCCAGACAACAATGTGTCTCTTTGAAAGTGAAATCCATAGAGCCACCCATTGATTACCTTTTATGTGTAATGGGTTGTACATATCATCCACTTCCATCCCCCACAGCTTGTTTGATCTGCAATAAGCTGGTTCCAAACCTTTTTGATAATCCAGCGCTCCAGCTGGTAAGAGTTTACCATAACCATCTGGATTTGCCGGAAAAGCAACGAACTCCTCGTACTTGATAGTCCACATCGTGAATAAAATTATATCAACAAAGCAAATCTTTTCACTCATAAACCACTCCGGATGGTTCGAGTACCGAAGCCTCAGTAGATTAATAGCAACATCCATGTGCTGCAACAGTAACACAAAAACTCAGCAAAACAGAACAATTACCAGCTTAAAGAAGTCTACTAAAGAAGTCTAATAACAAAGTCTACAAAAAAAGTCTACTAAAGAAGTGTACTAAAGAAGTCTACAGTACCGAGTCTATAAGAAATTCCTTCGGTTCTCGTAGAATCCAATACCACTCTGCACTGGTGTGCTTCACTATATTTAGCGGGTAATTGCTGTA